CCAGAGTTAAACCACGACAGGGTGAAGGTCCAAACCCTGTTGAATTTAAGTCAAGATTTCACAAAAAATTATCTGAGGATTAGGGACCCCCGCTCCATTCACCTTTACTTCTTTTAAAGGAAGAGAAAGGGTTTTTTTTTTTTCCATTTTGCACAACAGCTGCTCACCTCAGAAGGATGTTTATGGCATGTACTGCAACACATTTGGTTTTAAACAATTAAACACTCAAAAGAAACACATCTATCACAGGTTTTAAAGCCTCCGCCTTGGAGTGAGAAGGATATTGTGCCCTAAAGAAATCACTTTTAGACCCTTCACGAAGCACAGCTTGTCCATTCAAGCAAGAACACTCACGGTCCCGCATTCCCCATCCACCACCAGCTGCAACAGCCCACAGGCTCTTCCCTCAGCACCTCTTCTTCTGATTTAAGGCCAGTCACAGACCTGGGCCTTTTATTTACCTCATGCACGCACAGAATTAAAGCCAGAAGCATCAACCAACTGCAGAGTGCAGTTTCAAAACACTCTCCAATTCCCATGTTGGAGTCATGCTGACAGAAACAGCAACACCGCTTCCTCCTGCAAACTCTCTCAGAGAAAACAACCCACTGCGGAAATTTGAAGCAAGGACTGCAGAGGGAACAGAGTGGCATTTGGCAAGGTCTCTAAACCTTCACAGCAAGCTTCACCAACATGTTGAGGTTACCGTTACACAGCATTTTGAGCCAAAGGGAACGTGCCTCTGCTGCTCAGCCCCTCTCATGCCAACTCGAAACCACCTGTGGAGGAAGGTTGGCGCTAACCTGTTGGCCTACTAACAGCGACTGAGGTGTGAAAACACTGCCAGCTGGGGTGTGCACCTACCGCCAGCTTGCCAACTATGCTGTGGGAACGCAAGCTCCTGGGAGAGCTACAAAGCAGAAGTCTTGCACTGCCACACCAAGATATGCCAGAGCTTGTTTGCAGAAGTCCTACGTCAAAGAGTTGGGGCTGAATTACAGTCATTAACTCGTGCTAAGAGCAAAACTTACAGGGAATCTTTATCATAACTTTGAATTCCTTTGACTTTGGTTTTCTCCATTTACTTTTCAATTTCCCCTGAGGAACCAAGAATAATTTCACCCAACAAAATAATAATAATTAAAAAAAAAATAACTGGAATAATACCCACAAATAATTATTACTTTAAAATCACTTTAAATTCACTATCCAAAAATGTTAGTTTTCCCACTCTCTTTATTCTGCCTCAAAATAAACATGAAACCATATAAGATGACTTTTTCTTTCCCTTTTTTCTTTTTTTTTTTGAGAATACTTTTAAAAGAACTCCAAGTCCTCTATGGTGTTCTAGAGCCAAGAGCCAAAATTAGTGTCATTGTAAAAACAAAGTAGAAATTGAGTAATATTAAATTTTTCCTCCCTTGTTTAGTTCCTTTATAAATGATTCAGGAAACAAAAAAAAGCCAGTTGAAAAACAAACCCAAAAAAAAGCATTACAAAAAGCAAAAACACTTACTGGTGTCAGACTGAGATTTCAGCACGCCTTCAATGTCCGTGGTGATTTTAGAAACCTGACTATAAAACTGCTGGACAGAATTTTTAAGGCCAGAAATATCAGTGGAATGCGATGCTATAGTTCCGTTCATTTCCCGGATGCAGTTCCATAAGCTGCTCACGTGTTTATTCAGACCTTCTTTTATCTTCTGCAAGCTACCTGAGACTGAGTCCAGCTTGCCGCAAACTTTTTCCACGTGCGAGACTCTGCCCTCGACATCTGAAACACCCTCCTGGATACCTTGGGTCTTTTCTTTGCACTTGCTAAGATCATTCAGGACATGGTCGTTCAACTGTTCTAGTCTCTCTTTCACCTCACCACAGCAATTATCACTGGGATGAGCGGTCTGATTTGCAAATGTCCTCTGCATTTGATCGATTTTTCGGAAGACACCACGTTGTGTTTTTCTACAGGTAGAATTGACACCCAGAAGCTGCTCCTTGCAGCTACTCAAGCCATCTTGAAGATTTTTCATATCTTTATCCATGACATTTAGACTATAGCGGAATACACGTACATCTCTCTGCATTTTCTGGATGTCACGTTGGTTACCCTTAATTAAGTTGGCTTTCTCGTTAAGAGAGCTATTTAGAGACTGCAGGAGAACAGAGTTATTCTCGGTTTTCAAAAGCAAGTGATTGTATTTGTTGTCACAATTTTCTAGCTCTTTCTGAAGGTCCTCCCTACCTTGCGGTGCCAACTGACATTTCTGCCCACAGAGGTGTTCAAGCGACAACAGTTTATTCTTCAGGAAATTCATCTCTGTTGTAAATTGCTCATTTGCAAATCCTGCATCACTGGGAAAGATGGGCCCGGGATTAATGTACATGCCATCTGGGTCTGTGGCATTAGCGATCTCTAAAATCGTGCCACCCAGCCTATCTTCCAGGGCCCGCAGCTTTTGGTCAAACAAGTCTCTCAATTCATCTACCTCAGCAGCTATAGCACCGCGGAGAGTTTCCTCCACGTAAAAGCAATGTTCTTCAGCATTTCGTTCCGTAACATTCATCCTCGCATCGAGCTCCTCCAACCTCTCGCCAAGCATGTCTTCTAGATCTGGGGTTGACAGTCGACTGACTTCATTATCTATTCTGACATTCAAGATCCTGTGCGCCTCCGCAACTCTGTCGATCTTCTGTTCTAGATCTTTCATCTGCTGGTCAAAGCCATTTCTCTCACCTTCCTTGCAACAACTGGACTTGTTTGATGGAATCTGAGTTCGGAGAGTATTTATTTCTTTCCTCAAGTCATTCTCTTTTCCTTTTATAACATCAATTATTCCTAAACAGTTATTTTCATTGTCACCACACTGCTGCTGGATATCCTGCAGTTTGTATTCACAGGTGTTCTTCAGATCTGCCATTTTCTTTTCAAATCCTTCCAGTATTTCCTGCCTGAGAGACTCAAATTTCGAGTCAATATACTCCCGATATATATTGTCACTGGGCATTGTTATTGTAGGTCCCTGTGCTGCTTCCTGAAGTCGTTTTAGTTGTCCTTCATAGCCTTTTACTTTTCCATTCAGTTCCTCCAGCTTGTCGTTCCTCATCTTCAAGGCTTCTTTGACCTCAGCCAGCTCAGACTTTAGATCTTCCATTTCAAAATCAATAAAAGGATCTTTATGATCTTTATTGCTGAGGAGTCCAGGCAGATGAATAGTGTCTGTTTCCCCACCAACTGCGCTATCAGGCTCTGGGCGGTCATACAGGTTGTTCAGCCAAGTGACCAACATCTTACTCGCATCTTCTTGGACAGTCAACTTTAGGTTTTCATTCACACCTGCCACGGAGGACTGAAGTTCAAGCACTGCTCGTGTAAGTCTAAACAATTCGTCCTCAAGAAATTGCATTTTCTTCTCATATGGCGGAGGTTCTGGCACTTCTGTTGGTTCTGCATCTGTTTCGTGGAAACAACAGACAAAGTCTGGATGTAAATATTCCCAGTGGTATGGGTTTCAATCAGATGAGGCTAATTTCACTTTTCTTTAAAGCCAAATTATTGAAATTGCATCATACTTGTTCCCTTTTCTATTTTTGTTTTCAGTAGTTTATACTTAAACCGTTATCAAAACACTCCAAATAAAAAGTTTTAGCACATTGATCAATTCCTGCCAACATGCCACGGCAATAAATAAATAAATTAGCAAGCAGAACCCTGCTTCTTGTTCAGCAATGAATCTAAGCTACACCATATATATAACAGACCATTACAGATCCATACACGTCACAACACATTCACCTTAGAGGCACTGCACCTCCTTTAACAATAATGAGGGAGGTGCTGCTCCTGAATTCTCACTGAAAAACTAAGGGGCAATTATTTATGTGCCTATAGTTGGTTTGTGCTCCAGTATTTTCCTGAACTGGGGTCTAAACCCTGGATGGCATTCTGCAAGATATTCTCGTTACCACAAAATTTGGGCTCCAAAGATACCTATTATTTGATGCCTATTTAAGTAGGCAATAAAAATGTTTATAAAAGCATAAGCTTTACACATCCAAAATTGTTAGATTTAACTAAGGCCAGCACTATCCTCGTTGAATGAAAAAAAGTAAAAGCAGGCTTGTAGCTGCAATCTATTTTTCACCTAGCACAAATCAATTAATGAATCTGAAACCATCCTCTCAATCCATTCACCACTGGCAGCACTGCGTCTGCAGAGCCACGTACACCTCAACGTTCAGTTTCAAGCAAAATGTGTAGCAATTGGCGAACATCCAGCAGAAAGAAAGGAACGTTATCAGAGATCAAGAAATTATAAACTGCAGGAGAAGTCAAAGTAATTTTTAAATTAGGTTAGAGGAGAATGAGGAGTGATAAACTGAAAGGTATCTGCAAACCGGTAGCGAATAAACTATTTTCCTTATCTGCTACTGGTGGGACAGGACAAGACAAATGGGCATTCACTGGAGCAAGTGAAGGTGAGGCCTGCTGGCTGTACAGAAAGTGGAATGCCAGAGAGTCCACGTGAGCAGCAGAACTTCCACCACTGGAGGCTGGACAGACAAAGCTGATCCTACTTTAGGGGATGGATAAACAGACCCCTTAAGATTCCCCTAGTCCTATCTTCTGGGATTCTCAGCAACAAGGCACTGAGTGTAATCCAAATAATCAGGTAATATTAATCAAACCTGCAGCTAGACCACGAATTGTTTCAGTTTAACAAACATTTAATACCCCTTTAATGTGCAGATCCACATGACCGTATTTATTTGCATACTCCCATATATCTTTGCCAATATGCACAGAGGGGTACACCCTATAAATACATCCTGTATAATCTTATTTGGGATTGGCATGTTATCTGTTATGCAAGGCATAACCCAAGGACCTTGGCACAGTGAAGGTATGCTACTATCACAAAATAAATGAAGTTAAGGAGCAGAAGCAAGGAAGAAAATACACTTCTTTAAACACGACCGAAAACAGACACACAGATTGTCCACCTTAGAGTAACTCTTTCAGATGGCAAGTGGTGTTAACTGTCACATCTTCAGACAAAGAATTTTGGCACTGGTTCCAACCTATGCATGCACAGTGGACAGCAACGTTAGGATAGGGTCTGAAGGACATGCAGCTGGAGTTTTTTTAGTTTTAAACTAGATTTCAGCTTAAAGACATTGCAAAGAAGATAGGAAGTCCCAAAGGTACTCCCCTAGACCAGCAGGGTGGCCGATCCCTTTGATAGTAAAAAAGTATGCACACAGAGAATGTAGCTATTACACACACACACTGGTCAATTTTTGCACTGAATTACAGTTGGTTTAGGGTCAGACCAGGAAGAAAATCTCCAGACATAAGCAGTGTGCAAGTTTCTTAAAGATATCACTGCGTTTCATTATCATCTTTTGGAAATAAGATTTTAGGTGGGCTAGCAAAATATTTTAAAAGATTATTTTTACAGCAGGTATATGATCTATAGGACCGGTTTGAAACCATGTATTCTGTCCCAATCCATTCCACAACAAAGAAAACACAAGTGAAACTCTAAGTGCTATCCGTGACACTAATCTCCAATGATGCTGGGGAAAAGTCATTCAGAAGGAAACATCTGTTTATAATTTTTTGTTAATGCAGAAAAGGCACAATACTGCAGTAACAGCATTCCTTCTTACCCTTTCAGAAGACAGTATCTTACACAAACAAACGTCATTCATTCTTTAAGGTATTTTTTTTTCCAGAAACTGAGGCCTATCATCCCCTTACCCCGTAGTATTAAGGCAGATAATCGAACATGAATCTGTAAAACCTGCACAAGCCCTTGAACACACGAAACATGTGAAACTGCTAAGAAGCAGTATATATCATTAAAATTAGTACCTGTTCTTTTTTGTTTTAATAATTGTTCCTCTCAACTATATATATTTTTTTTTTTCTGAACAATGAAGAAATTCCAAAACAACACTGTAAATTCTAACCAAAAAAACCAAATACAAGAATACCCCAACCTTAACACAGATTTTCCTGAACCATGAGTAGCCAGCTGGCATTTATGGCCAGTGTTCTACAGCCACACCTCCGTTATTCTTCAGGAAATTCTCTGTATCAAGACTGTTACTGCCTGGCTATTATTTTCCCACCACACAGTGTCTTCCATATGGCTTTTGTACCTGCCAGTAGTTGAGTTTAACAGAAACCATAACGGTTCTTACACTTAAAAGACAAAGCAAGAAACCAGAGGTGATCACGCATACCAAAACTCAAACAAAACGTTACCCAAGCCTTTCTTCACAACAGGTTTTGCTGGTGTCGTGGGACGACGAGCAGTGTTCGGCTTTTCTGCTGGGCCTTCTCTGCAGTCTTCCCCTTTGTACCCAGGACAACATCTCCATTCCAACTCTGTTACTGTCTTATACGCAACTGTGTACCGAGGTCTGAAACTTGTTCGGTACCTGCCAGGACAGAAGGCATTTTAAACCGTCAGTAACCTAATCTGCTATTAAAGCTAAAATTAAAAGTTTTAAAATCAACTATTTTCATCTATGATTCACCTTCTCCTTCAAACATCAAATGAACAAAAGTTTCTAAGTTTTAAAGTTACCTGCACTTAACACAGTCATGTCAGGGAGAGCAAATACGACCGTAGAGCAGGGGTCATAGTCTTTGCCTGTATGAGCAAAGAGAGAACATCTTGTGGGAAGTGGAGGTTCAACTCCTCAGACGCTGCTGAGAGTAACGGTGACTCACAAGGCTGCTCTGGCAGCAGCTCTTCTGGACATCAAAAAATGTTTCTGTCTACTTTGTCCCACTTGTCTTTCCACAGTCTCCACTTAAACCATTCCTCGGAATCTGTATGTACAGAGCAGTCAAAGCTAGAAGGGATATTCCAGGGAAGGGCAAAACGCTGAAAGCATGAGTCAGATAAGGACATGAAAGAAGTAGTCAGATGAAAGGCTACAACCAAGAAGGAATCAACTCTTTCCTACTTCACTAGCTGACTTGAAGGGAGCCTTGCAGACAAATCTAATCACACGTTATGTACATACAACCTCAAGGTTCCCCGATTAATCACTCAAAAGTTAATAAATGGCAAACTGATTCTGGTGCTGCAACTTTCTTTAACCACAGACTTCTTCCACAACTTCCCTTCAGTCCCTGTATGGCGCGTTCACCTGGGGTCAGGCAGCACGGTATCCCACCAGACCATAAGCAGAGGCTGTGCTACTTTACAGCTTATTTTGGGTTGAGAGATGAGGAACATAAGTAAAACAGGGATTTGCCGTCTGAACTCTATAAGTTGGTATACTTGGAAGACATAGAAACAAAAAAGTTACCCCAATTTCTTGCATGAATTCCTTTCTCCAAATAAAACTTGCACGATACTACTAATCTCCCTAGGGCATTTTCAGATCTTTTTTCTTAAGATTATTTCAGAGTAGAATGACAGTTTGCATCCATTAATGAACGACAGGGCTCACTCCACAGCTGAGGTGCCCCTAAAGCAATACCAGCAGGATAAATACAGGACAGCAGCGAAGGACTGGACAGGAGCTCTGCAACAGATTTCAGTCAGTCTGTCTGGACTGAGAGGGAGTGTATTTTCGGACAGAGAACACAGAGCAGAATGGCCATGAGAAGCAGCCATGGTATCACACAAAAATCAACGACATGCTTCATTTAACAGTCTTGTATTAACGTGCAAAATTCTTTATTGTTCAAAAATAATCAGTAACCAGCTACCAAATGGAAAAAGTTAAATCTTAGAGTGACTGTGAAACAGTTTCTACTGGAAGTCACAGGGTAAGAGCTGAACTGCTACTCTTCAAAGCTTCTCTTGCCACGCATGCAGAAAAATTGCCGACATAATTCTGTATTGTCTTTAATTCAGCATCTTTTACCGTCAGAGACATAATTTTAATACAACATCCCACATCTGTTAGCCATTTGCTGCCTCTTTTTGGTAAGCAGCTTAGTAAACTTGGGGCAGGGGGGGTTAAAATGTTACCTATTAATCATGAATTTGTTCCTTTTCCAACCATATCTCTCCCAATTCTGCCACAATATATTCTAATTTTTGCACTTGGGAAATACTCAGTGTTCTTTTGCACTATTACTTTATCTAACACTTCACATTTAAGGGGAAAAAGTGACTTTGAGTAGAGACAATGCCATGTTTTTTCCAACTAGTTTGGGGCCAGAGAGTAGTTTATTTTGACAAACCTCCCTGGATTCCCTTCTCCTGTGGATCTGCATGGGAAGGCAGGGGCAGGCTGGGCTGCAGCTCTATCAGCTGCCTGTGACTGCAGCGGTTCACTGTGGTTGTCAGCTGTTCGGGTTCTGACTCGGAGCACGTAAACTCAGAGTGGGTTTCCAATCCTTTATTACCTTCATGACACCACACATGAAACAGCTGTAGATTGCACTCCAGCTCGTTTCTTTTACGGCTTTCCCCGAAACATCTGCTGAATCCTGTTTACAGATGTAAAGTACAGACATCCCCAAGGTCAAGTGTTTTAAAAATCAAATAGAGGAGTGCAATGCAGAGGGCACCACTGGGAAGGACAACATCCCGGCCACCCAGGAACTTCCTTTTCCTTCTCCCTTATCTAAAGCACTAAACCACATCTCGTGTAGGTAATTTGTGTTTGGTTCCTTTCCTTCCAACTAGCTACCAGAGTCAGTGGAGCAACAGGATTAGCAAGATGCTTTCCTGTTTTGAAGTGGTTTTGAGAGTCATTACAACCTCTCTCCCAACCACCACATTAGTGAAATGCAAACTTTGAACTTCCAGAACAGTTTTCCCATGCCGGAAATGGTTGTACATACTTCTCTCTGATTTCCATAAAGCACTTAAATGCTCCTAACTTTGTGTGCATTCCTCTCTACACTTTCGGGGACAAACTCCTTGAAAATTACAGTATTTCAATCTTCAAACACCTTTACACTTCTCCATTTTTTCCTAACACAGTTTTAAGAGTACAGGTGAAGTAAATTATACAGAAGGAATAAGAACTGCTTTTATGCAAATTGTGCACTTCTTTGCTCAAATTACAGAACGATGATTTTCCTTGTACCATTTCTGCCATTCCTACCATATTTTTGAGAAGTTCCTCTTAGTTTACCTTCTCTTTAGTCAACGTTCATCAGTGCAGACACCTTCAGATGACTTCAACATTCAGACAAATCATAAGACCCAAGGAAATACAGAAGAAGAATATAAACAAATTAAAAAAAAATTAAGCTTAGCATTTTTAATATGGACAAATTATAAAACTTTTGCCAATTGTATCTTAAAAACAAAAAATACACAAGTTCAACATCCTCGCTTTTTTAAATTTCATAGTTTCAAGATAGGCACAAAATGTTTTATTACATAATACAAAAATTATGTGAAATGTAGAAGAATCCTCCCATTCTAAACTACAGCATATTAACACTGTGTACCTACAGCTTTTAAAACGTTGTAGCAGTCAATTCCTTACAAATTCTTACAAGTCTGAGAACTCAAGCAAATACATGAACTGGATTTGGTTTGATTTCAGCTACGGCACATCAAATACAGACTAACCTGAATCCTAAACCACAATTCTCCCAGAGCAGAAGTAAGCTAGAATCAAAATGCTTCCAACTCTGGACGTAGAACAGCTTTCATATTTTACATCCTGAACTATGGCAACAAGATGGCTATACTCACGGACAGCTCAGAAATTAAATTGGGATTCACTTACGGAGAACTATTGCTCCTCTGTACTGCCAGTGCAGCCGAGTGAATCGCACAGCCAGTGCCATTTACTTCAGCAAGGCTGGTCACGTAGGGCTGGGAAACAGGAACTTACCCTAACGCTTTCCTAATTTCAATCCAGTCACATAAAAGTTTCTTAAAAAGCACAGTTTCATCGCTACAGCTTCTCTCCCCAGGATATGCTGCTCACACAGCTGTGGCAGTTGCCCATGCAAGGGGTGGTGTCACCGTGCCAGCACCGTCCGGGTGCACCGATACATGACAGCCACCAGCACGCATCCAGCCCAAGGGGGAGTCTCAGTCATACAACAAGATTTTTAAAGACAGACCTTCGCTCGCTCAGTGGATTTCAGTGGAGGAGATGGAGACTTCTAGAATTTTGCCAGGATATGACACTCTAACAGCACCGAACACAATGAGATGCTTGGTTAGAGTTCTAAAAAAACAAACCATAACTCTCTGCTAGGGACCACATCCTGAGAATAATCTGTGATTCCACATATTTTAATGACACAGGACAGGGAGCTACTAGAATATACAAATCAGACACGTCTTTATTTACATTTGCAGTATTCTGAATCCAATTGCTGATAGTCACAGCAAACATGTAACATACAAACACACAAAATGCACTCAGTGTAGCCAGGGAGATGAAACGTTGCTTCTCTAGGCGGCTGGGTAGCGTTACACAGAACACAACATGCCCAAGTTTCACATCTTTTATCTTGTAGCTGTGAATCTTTAAACAGTTACCTAGTGAGGCAACTTGGTCAAAAGGGTTCAAAACAGCTTCACAAGTCTCAAAGAAATGAGGCTCCATTGAGCCTGTATATGCCAGAATGTAATTAAACAATAGTAAAACATTATCCCTTCCTCCAGTTGACTTGGATTTCTGCTATTCAAGTAAGTCTTAATAAACACAATTGTTTTTACAAGTGTCTCAAAGATATTTAAAAATAATTCTTATGTGGTTAAAAGTTACATACAGTACACCAGCATTTACTGTGCCTAGTCAACCCATCCTCTTGTGGGCTTCCAGCCCAAAATGATGGTCATATCCCTTTTGGTGAATTGAGCTAAATACTAGAAATGAAATCATTCTTTTAGAAAGCATGAACAAAGAGTGATTTCAACAGTCTCTAATCTTTCCTCGCAGCCGAGAAAATAAGAACAGCTGGTTTTTCGGAGTCTTTCCACAACAGGCTTATAACTATCAACGCCTACTACCTTCACCATGGATTCAACATGCAGATCAAACGAGAAAACACATTCAGAACACTAATGCAAGCCTCCACTTTTAATATTTAAGTATCTCACAGCTGAAATTAAGTCATACAGTGTGGCAACAGCATTCCAATATTCCTCCTCTTTGAGAGAAAAGTATTTTCTTAGGAGAATGCTTAATCAAAAATACGTATACTGCAAATGCTAGACATTTTGCCTAGGGAACAAACCATAATTTTCTCATGGTGCTAAACCACAGAAGGAAGCAGTTAGCACTGATATTTGGAATTTCACCTAACAGCGATAAAACAAATCAGAAACATTTGGACGGAATTGGTGGGAAAACATATGGCTCAGTTCTGTAACTAGATATTAACATTCAACCTTTTGGGAAATGCAAGGAGATAAGCGCCACCACATCCTCACTGTGAGCAAGGGACTGCAGAATCAGCATATGTTTCTACATAAGCAGTGTATAAAATGTTT